CCTCTTTTAAATATAATCCATAAATAGAGCATTTATCCAACGCGCAAACGTTTAAAAACCTTTCCCACAAGAAAGTAATAATATTGATCTAATTATCTCAAAAAATGTGATGATGTGGCTTTAGCAGCTTGGGAAATTGATCAGTCCCACGCTACTGAGACCTATTAACATTTAAATATATTGTCCAGAAAGATATAAAAACCCTCTTTCCAAGGTCAAATGTGCTATTCTATACCTATCCACCAGCATGTAATGTTGTCATTCTGGGGCTCTGGCCCTTACGTTAATAAAATTAGATTATGATTACCGTATTTTCCTGTATCTTTTTCAAGAAGCACCGGCCACACTACGAACTTACAATGTTTAGGCTTTCAAAGCGTAACATATATATATATATATATATATTCCTCCCGTTATGTTTAATTTAAATTAACTCCTACTTCTTACAAAAATAACAATTTGTTTCTTTGATTTCATCGATATTTTCTTCAACCAAATATATTTGTAGTTGACACCGTCGTACAGGGTAAGTAACAATGATTTGAATTGCATATGTTTCATTTATAGCAATTTACTTTTTCGTTTAGTCATTAATTATCCTTGTCCTGCTGTGGACTGATCGTTAAGACTCGGTTCCCAGCAGATCACCGAAGTCAAGCAACACTGGCTGTGGTCATTGTGCGGGAGATGACCACTTGGATCAGGCTGCGTAGGGACCGAGTGTATGCGGTATTGGTCCTCGTTAAACTGTTCTACAGTAAAGTGCTCGACTTCGCGTGCAAGTCATCGGGATACCAAAGCGGGGGTGCCATCCAAAATTGTGATGGCGCGTTTTCTGATCATCCTCAGGGATGTTTCTCACACCATCGCCAATTGCTCATTGCTGCCATTTTTTGCAAATACTCATGCAAAACGGGAAGATTTCATTGCCTTATTAGATAAAACTTTGTTACAAATTAAACACATGCGTAGTTAAGAGTTCGACGGCGATTTAAGAAAATCCGAACTTCAAGCACGTGACACTGTTTGGACGGCACTTCTTTTTGCTAATCGACATTGTTGGCCAACGTAAACAATGAAAGAAAATCAACTATTTCTCATAATTAATAAATAATTTGCGATAAAGAACTAATTCGCTGACGTTCCTGGTCAAATAAATACTTAAATTGAATCGAAACTAAGGGGGCAAACTAAAAGGAAGTGAACGAAAACCATCTTAAGAAACATCGTTCAAATCAAACATTCATACTGAAAGTACATGCATTTCAATTTTCGCCAAATGGCTTGAATGAGTCTGGGGCAAAAACAACTCACTCATGCGATGCACTGGTTCGAATTGGAGAATAAATGTCGAATAAGTTCGTTTTATTGCTGATACAAATGGTGAATCGGATAAATTTATTATAATAATTTATTATTTTTTTAATATTAATTTTAGATTAATTTTATTTATTAAAATAACCTTAATTTAATAATTTTATTTGGGAGTTTTAATATTAAATTTGAATGAAAAAACATACTCATCGCCCCCCTACAGCCCTAAACAAGTTCACCGCCCCCCTACTGCCCAAAGCAAAGATCAAACGATGAGAGACCAGTGAAGGAACAAGTGTTCCTTTACTAGGTTTCTTCTAAGTTAATGGAAATAAAATTAAAACTTTAATTTTCTTGTACCTTTAGTAATGTTACGCATCAAAAGTATGTTAAAAATACAAAAAACTTCTATCGAGTGAGGGAACAGGCATGTTCCTTTACTGGGCATAGATTTTCCAGTGAATGAACAGTATGTGTAATCTAATCAGAAAATGAATCCAATTTACAAAAGCAAAAAAGAGACCAAGAAGTAAATTAACTATTAAAATATGAAATCAAAATGGAAAAGTGCCTAAACCAGCTAAAACCAAATTTGCTTTATCTTAATTTAGATATTCAAACAAGCATTAAAGCAGGAAAAAATAATAAAATAGAATATATATGTGTCTGTAAGACAGCACTTCTTCAGGGGACACACTGTCCCCTTAGGAGTTTTATTTTTATTTAAATTTATTTGTAATAATAGAACAGATTTTCTGTTAGCTATTGGGACTTTCTGGATCACCTTAATGAATAATAATTTTCCTTTCAATTACTATAGTTTTAATGTTTTAATTCAAAATATTTTAAATACATTAAAATGGTTTGGCCGATATTGAAGCCCGCTTAAATAGGCCTATGCGGTGAAAATTAAGGATTTCTTTTTGAAAGTAGATGGCAGCACTAGAGGAATTTTTTTCTCATTGGATATTTTCGTTTCGTTGTTCAAGATTTTACACCAGGTGTCAGCACTTAATATTTCCTTACTGATTCGGCAATTTAATTTTATTTTATGCTATTTTGATTTGGTTAATCTAACTGTAGCTGTTACTATATTTATATTTTGATTTAAGTGGCGTTTCATTTTTAAGTCTTACTTTGTGTTTGCTGGTTCATTATTTTTCAATGCTTTTCAATTTTGGTAATAATTTCCTTATTTGTCTATCCATTATGGGGCCTCGGGGTACTGTCAGTTTTGGTTTTTCCACTGACAACAGAAAGGCTCCTGTGTGTTTCTAGACAGTGCGTCACCTGAAGAAGTGCTGTCTTACAAACCCACATATATTCTATTTTATCATTTTTTCCTGCTTTAATATTTGTTTGAATATCTAAATTAGAACAGTATGTGCTAATATGTTGACACTTTACTTTCCAATTCATAATTATAAAAAAATTTTAACATTTTCCAAGTATTTGTATGTTATAATTTCAAGAATAGTCTTGTTTTTAGATATTTGTATGGCTTATAAATTCATAAAGAGCATTAAAAAATAACCAAAATTAAGTGTTCCTTTACTGGGAAATTTTGTGTTCATTCACTGGTAAGAACAGCTCCTTCACTTGGTCTCCTTACTACTTGTTATTTGAACCTCCAAAGCTTTAAAACAATATTATGTAAGTTCTCTACAATTTTTTTGCATAATTTGAAATTAGTAACGTATATGTTGACACTGTCATTTAACTAAAATTATGAATTTTAAAATTATTATGATTTTTAAAAATGCAAGCGAAGCTTAAGTGTTCCTTCACTGGTTAGTTTACCCTAGTAATTTCAATGAAAAATAACTATTTTTCATTGCTCTAAAAAACTGCAAATAAGTGCAAATTAGGAAAGTTAATACTTTGAAGTGAGCCGTATTTGATAAATGTTACCGTTTGCTATAATAAAGATTCCGATGTTTCTAACTGTATTTCATTACCATAAATTATTAAAATGCTAAATTTAAAAATTTTCGCTTACTTAACCTAAAATTCTACTATAAAGGATTAAGGTCAAAGGTACCGATATAATGATTCATTGTTGACGTGATTTATCTGAGAATCTAAGAGATTGATTTTTTTAGTTATTCTAGCTTATAAAAATGTATAAATATTCATTTCTTACTCCTTATTATTCATATAAATTACATTTAAAATTTTTGCTTGTACACATCTGTTTTGCACTTTTTATGACTACTTAATCCCAGAGATGTGCGTAGTCGCACGCACGGTTAGAGGGATGGTTCCTCAAAAATTAACAATTTCGCGATTAATGACAAGGAGTTGATGGATTAAGCTGTAATTTTCTAAAAACAATTGTATTTTGAAGATGTTGAAATATATTTGATTAGTGAAAAAATAGATTCGTTAAATTTTAATGAGAATATTGGAAATTTTTAGATGTATAAGCTTAACATAATTCTGTTCATTTGTAAAAGAATCTTGCAAATTATCAAAAAATAGTTATTTGAAAAAAATCACTAGCAGCGATCGCGATAAAATTCAGATCTAGTAATGATAAAAACCAACCACTGTGACTTAAAAACTAAATTGATTAAAACCAAAACTTTTCTTTAAAATTAAAAGAGGAAAAAAAAGAAGCAAAAATAATTAAAATATAAACTTTTGTTACATAAAATGCAACATTCTCCAATGTATAGATGAAAAATAAATCATAGAATAAACGAACCCCGAAAACTTTTCTACTAAAAAAATGACTAATTTTACCGTTTTTTGAAAGCCCATTGCCACTAGACACATCTTACAGACGCTCGTTAATGATCTGAAAAACATCAAATACGGTAATTGATATAGTTTAGTAGAAGAAAAAAAAATCGCAAAAAGAAATTTAAGAGTAAATAAATATTTTTACAGGCATTTAAAATTTTTGTTTTAGAAAGAAATTTAAAGCATTATTTTTGTTTTCAATACAGATGGGGTACTTTAATGAAGTATCGTAGAATTTATTTCAGATGCAAATGGTAAGTTAAATAATTCTGTTACTGTATAAATTATGCTGATTAATCAAAACAATAAAAATACCGGCTAACTTTGTAATATTCTAGTATAAAAAAAAATTACTCTGGAATTATTTTTGAATTAGTAAATATAATAAACGGAATATGACATACAGTGCTAAAAAGGAAAAAAAAACGTTCTGAATAACTTTTGTTCTGATTATCGGATCTTCAAATATTAAGACTTATTCTCAATAGTTCGCAGGGTAGATCTCTAACTTGCTAATTAATTAATTCAGATCATAATTCAAGTTCCGAAATCAAACAAACCACGAAAACATACCTTCACTGATTATATTTATGACGAATATGTTTTTCCGACTCTCACAATATAGGGAGTTGCCACAAGTTTGGAAATTTGATCCTAATAGTTTGGATAGGATAGAGTGGTCAAATGTTTGGACCCTTTAATGTTAATTTCTTTTTTGCGCATTTCACCGTACCTCGCAACCAGATTGTTTTTTAGAAAATCGTATATTACTTTTACCTATTAAAAAAATTTATTTATCCAAATATAATTCCAGGCAAAATTAATTTTAGTAACAATTTAATATTTTTTGATATTTTACTTATTAATAGCTAGAAACGTTTTGCATTTTTTTTTTGTCTAATACAAAAAAATACAATTTTAAAGAATGTTATTTAAATGGCAAAATAGAAAAATTTAAAAGAATCGTATATTTTAAATTATATCGAGTTATTTTGTTCAAATTTTGAATTTGACACATAATATTACGTTCCTCAAAAAGATGTAAAAATTTTTATACATCACAATTAAAAAAATTCTTGAGATAAGACAAAATACGCAAAAAGTAAAATTATCATCTGGCAGTCAAATTCTGTAAGTTAGGAAAACAAAATTCTAAATTTAAACATTTCTTGAGTAGTGGGAGTTTTCTACTGAATGCAGAAATTGCATTAAAGCTCGTTTTTCCCTTTTGAAAATTCAAGAAAGTTCACATGTATCATTGTTGAACTCAGTTACTCCATATTGTGTCACCTAGCACACAATATGACCCTCAATGGTTTATATCAATAGAGTTCGATTATTATTTATTATTTTACTCCGTTGTATTATTTTTGGTCAAAAATTAGAAATTCTTCTTTCAACAATGTTATGAAAATAAATCTGATTTGTTTAAAAACATTATTTTTTTCTACAACAATTTCATTTTCTACTTTCTATAGGTTGAGGCGATCCCTTACAATGAGCTAGCTTCAACTGCATCTGTATGTCTATCAATCCTTCTCATGTGTTATTGCAAATAAAAATCTGTAGTTTGCCTTTGGATTGAATTTTTTTGCTTACTTAAATTTTCGAGACTTGCGTAAATCATATTTTTATTTGCATAATTTTTCAGAAATATTTTAAAGTTATTATAATATTTAATTTTTTATCAAAATAATATAATTTAAAAGGGCATTTAGGTGCCAACTAAATATTACTAATATAAAAGAAGATTTTATTGATTATTGTTAAATACTTTTCTCATAATTAACGAATTTAAAACACATGGAAAAATGTAATGAGCTTCCACTTTAATGTTAGAGCATATATAAAAGCGAATCATTTTTTATACAACGCGTGGTAAAATTGCAAATGCCCAAAATGGTTTCAGCACCACGCTGTGAGAAAGAAGCAAGGCAGATGATAACTACTAGTTAGATAGATGAGTTTATCGTATCCTTATATCATTTTCAACTGAATTTGCGAAGTTGTTGGGAATCGTTTGGTTATCTGTTGAAGCTGGTTTCTAAAAATATTTAGATAGCATAATTTTTTAAGGATGTGGGGTGTTATAATATATTCCCACCATTTTTCTTACATTAATTTCAGTTTTGAATAAAATATATTTTTGTAGGAATGAAAAGCGCAATTACTCTTTTCAACCAGAGAAATAATTCTCCAAAACACTGGTCATTCAGATTTTCTCTTTCTTCTCTTTATAATACAATTTATTTTATGATAGAATTAAATAGAAGTAAATAAAAATAAAATTTTCCACACCTAACAAAGTTGAAATTTAAGATTTGAAACTGAATCGAACATTTCATGTTTCAACATAAATACACACATTATGGATACATTTCGTAACCCTACTATCAATTTGCGCAAACATATCTTTATTCAATAACTTTTATGAAGACAAGACAGAGGCTGTAACGAAAATATGAAAATAATTTTTGAAATCTACTATATTAATTTGCCTACATTAATTAGTTCTTGTTTAACCTATTCAACTAAATTAATTAGTTGTTGTTAGAATTCAAAGGGACCCGTCAGGCCTGCAAAATATTTTAGAAAAGCGTTGCGATGATGTAAGAGTGGATCGTCTTTAACCCCTTAAAGATCGGTTAATTTTCAAGAAAACGGTCATAAAAGTGCCTATATTTCAGGCTTTTGTATTTGTATTACGTATTTGATTAGTGCTGCAACTAGTTTAAAATAAACTAACTATCTACAATTACCTTAAAAATATCCTGGTACTGCCATCAGAAGCGTAAAATGAGAAATTAAATGTTTTCTGGGCAAAAGAAATGAATTAGTTTTATTCTTATTGGAGCGTTACTACTAAACACTCCAGCCCGTCATTTTCACGGGAGCGAGAAGGAAGGGGTTAAGTAATATCGTACATAATTTAAAGTTTTTCTTCTGCAAAGACTGAACTAGCTCTCTGATTCAATTGTTGCAAATCAGACAATGTACATAAAAAAAATTCTAGAATGGATTGTTACTAAAACAGCGTTTTCATCCAGCCCACTAAGGCAGCAACGGTAGAGCTAACTCGTTGAGCGGTATATCTGAGTGAAAGATGAATTTAAAATGCTAGATAAAATTTGAGTGAAAGGAATTGGAAAATTGACTGAGTTAACAACTCCATCCTAGTTAATTACATACAGCATTTGGTTTGTTAATATTTGGCAATATTTGGTTTGTTAATTCTTTGTGCGGAGCTATGGAAAAGTTTTTTTTAAATTAAATAATTTTATTTCATTCATTTTTATCTAAGATTCTTTAAAAACCTTCAAAATAATATATAATTAAATAATAAAATAAAGGAATTTAGCATTATGTTTTTCAAAACTTTTCTCATCTTTGCAAATTTGGTACTGGTAGTAATCCTCGATTTGAGAACAGTAAAATAAAGCAAAATATTACTTTATTTATTGCTTTTACCGATACATTTACATAATTAAGCTAAGCAAAAAAGTTTTTATAAAGATTATTCTGTCAAAATAATTATCAACTCTAATCCTCATTATTAGGCATGATACTATTGCTAGCTGAGAAATGATTATAACATACCACAATCAAATAATTTTCTTCATTCTTTAATTTGCATATAAACTCTTTCACCTCAATACCTACACTAGAACTTTTAGTAGTATATTTGGCAACTATTGGAAACAACATAATACCAATGATACTAACAGTACTAATAGCAAATAGAAACGCAGTAGAAAACTACATTTCATTAAAATGCAAATTTAACATTTGTAGCCATTACATATAACAATTGATAAAAACAATTTTATACTAACTTTTCATCATTTAAAAATGTATTTTTACTACGTAATAAGCTAGAATATGAAATATATTTTTTAAAATTAAAGAAATATAGTCATTAGATTAGCATCTGATTTTAGTCTATTATTTTTCATATAATTTAAAATTACTATTTCATATTATTTTAAACTAGGCACAAGTTGTAGAAGTTCTTTATTGAAATTTGCATTTGAAGTAATATTTAAAAAAAGTTAACTATATTTTCTTAATAGTATAAAATTTCTATAATTGAATCCCAAATACAACGTTTAGTAGTACTCGAATGCAACAGTCCTTATTTTTTTTTCCATGTTTTTTCTCTTTTTCTTCCTTTTTTATTTATTTTTTCTTTTCTTTTTTTTTGTAATAGAAGTACCAAAACCCAACGATATTTGCTTTAATAAGAGATCGAGTTATAAAGTCAAGTTCTGTATAAAATCGCATGACACACTTAAAAAAAAATAGTTTAATTTGAAAATTAGTTCGCCACAGTATCAATTCATCGTGGGGATGATTCGACGTGGGCGTAACTCGTCGTACTGACAATTCGTAACGGCAATAATTCGTTGTTGCCATAATTCGCTGTGGAAACAATTTGTCGAAAGAAAACTTTGTTGCGGGCTAAAATTCAGACTGTTTCATCAAAGACAGAAAGAAGAAAAAAAATTTAATGGAAAATTTTAACACAGATTTGCCCGAAATGGATTTGCACTTGGAAAAATAAACAAAGAAAAAATTTTAGTAGATAATTTTAGCCACGATTATTATTCTTTGACGATTATTATTATTATTATGCCACGATTATTATTATTCTATCCACGATTTAATTTTTATTCTTTGATAATTTAAATAATTTTTCTATGTGCTAGTCCATATCGTGCAAATCCGCGGCTAAAATTATTTGCAAAACAGGCAATTTATGGATTCTCTNAATAACACACTATGAAATACGGCAGATTTGAGCTCAGAAATCATCTAATTTATTTCTTTTATTGAAAACAAAATTATCAGTTTAAAAATATTGCCTTGCAGAATAATATGTAGTAAGCAGCTGCAAACTTTCTAACCGGAACTAGAGCAGGCATACAGCTCGAGATTGTCATTGTTTACATTTTTACTGAAAACACCATCCATAGACAAGTGTAGACTTTTTTAAAATCTCAGAATTGAATATGAAATTATATTCTATTTAAAATGAGTTTATTACATACAAAATGAGATTGCTTTGTTTATAAAATTAAAGGTAGAACATAATACTTAATTATCAATAATATCAAAGAAATATTTAAAGAAACAATAAAATACATTTACAAATTAACTTTTAAACACTCATTAGCACTATCTGTAAAAAATAGAATAATGCATTGCAACTATCATAAAATTAGTAACCTTGTTTTTTTTTATGTTAAATATTCTAATACAGGGTAGAAATAAAAAATAATCAACCATATAGTTACTATATTAATGAAAGTATCAACTTACTGCAAATTCTATAAAATACATAAAAACTGATATATATATTGTTGGTTGATATAAAAAAAATTACAATCAATGCATCATGTGTACATTTTATTTTTGATGAGTTCAACGACGTTTTTTCCCAAAGAACACACTTTCACATGCATGGCATATATCCTTTGTATAGTACAAACACGAACATAATGTAATACTATACATTTTGGATATATATATATATATCATATCAGGGTAACAAACCCCGATATTTGGTTATTGTTCTTAAATTACAATTGTAGAAATAATAAGTCGATAGATTTTAACAGGCTTTATTTACTGGAGTATGATGTAAACAGAAATCTCACCCACTCTCCAGCCGGAGGGGGAAAGACAGATTTCCCGTCAAAACAGACGGAGTTTAGATGGTAAACATATAACACAAAAAGACACGCAAAAAGCATTGCTCCTCGGTTTTATACGATACTTACAATGTGTAAACAGGGCAGTCATATTGCATTAATTGTATTCCTACGCCTCATTAAAATTATTTACTCATAGAAAATCGTTTAATCTTTCCTTATATGGAAGTGAAAGATCTTAAAATAACTCCTCTTTTGAAACATAAATCTAATTATAATTCATTGGCATGTTTTCAGCCTTGAAGTCCCAAAATAGAATATCTGCATTTTATGAACACGAAAAAGTTTTAATGCGTTATTAATACAAAAGTATTTTTATAACTTTCGTATTACATCCCCCCCCCCCCAAAAAAAAATTTTTTTGGTAAGCCAAAAAAATTATAATAAAATTTAGAATATTATTAATTTTTGAAGTTTATGTTGGTACGACTGTCCTCTTTCCTGCTATAAAGAACATTTTTCCATTTATGTGAAAAATATAATTTACAGTAACAACAAGAAAAACATAATAATACAATTTATCTGTTAAGTCAACTAAACAGAAAGAAAAAATGAAATATGTTTTATCCCTTTGCAAAACTTTCTCAATGACATCACAATTAAAATAAAAAGAATAAATTGCAATTTTAACAAAATATAACGTAACATGAATTTTTAAGAAAAATATACATTAGTAAACAATGAAAAATAAATTTTCATGAGGGAAAAAAAATTTGAAGTAGCTACCATCAATTTGAAGTGTTAGATCTTCATTTTCAATAGTTTTTGTGATTCAAGTTTTTCCAGTCTTTGAAAATCACAATAAATAAAGTTATTCCTCCTACAATCACAATTTAAGCAAACTTTTCACTTAAATAAGAAAATCTATAA